AACCTGCAAAAAACTCGTGTGAATGAAGAAATAATTGATGAAAATAATTAAAAGGAAAAGGATTTTTTGACCAGTGTGGTACCTTAATGGTCCAATGGTGTATGAGTGACATTATCAGAGGATATGTTATTATTTTCTGAAAGTATTGTCCGTTTTACATGCCTTGAAAATGCATATAAAGCATGAAAAATTCCAATAAAAGGCATTGACCAAGCTTTGTTTTGACCAGAATGGTACCTTAGTTATCCTTTGGTATGTCAATGGTGGTACTTTATTTGAAGTAGAGTTGGTGTACTTAAGAAGTGTTATTTCAGTTTAAAAAAAAAAGTTTAAATTAGAATGATTGATCAGCAAGCTTTATTTTCAGCTTTTCAGCATTCACAAGTTTCAAGCATTGTTCCCACATCCCAACACCCTCCCCTCCCCAAAACACATTCCATCTCATCAGAATGGAAAATACAGAAAAAGCTGTACATGGATATTGAAAAAAAAAATGCATCCCAAAATGTACAATTGCACAACTGATGTAAATGCATACACTTTCCTTCCCCTCCTTGATATCAAAAATAATAAATCTGTAATGAAAATTGCAGCAAAAGGCAATTACTGAACCCACATTGAAGCATAAGGTTTTCAGCCTGTTGACAGATAAATTTTAGTTGATTAAAACATTTGAAGAGGATATTTGATGAGAAATTGTGTAATTTGACCCTGGATATTGGAAAGAGTCTTTTCAGATTAATTCTTCTACAATAACAAGCAATGCCTTTTTTTTTTAAAGCTGTGGTGTCTGGTGGCACCTAAATCCAAGTGGGGACAAATGAACACCTGTATGGTAAAAATGTGCAATAGTAAACTCTCATTTATGATATACAGTACAATACTGTAGTTCTCAATGTGACATACTGTGCTTATCATATCATGTATGGGACATTCTATACATGAAAAAAAAATGGCAAGAAATAATCTCTGAGTTTGGTTCATTCTCATGAAGGCATTTTTGGTTACTTGAACAGGTACATAAACATTTAGAAAAATGTGCATTTTTCAACACCCTGTATATTATGGAGCTGAAGATATTTTAAAGATCTTTATTTGTAGATTTTATTGCTAATTTTTTCAGCTGTTTGTTGCTGAAAAAGTAATGCTGTGTTTTTTGAAATTATGATTCCTTATATTTGCATACATTACGAATGTATTCTTAGCAGAGAAACTTTTTGTCAAAACTCCCGAGAGCCTGAGTACTTTTCACAAGGACTTTCTGAACCCGGAAACCCGTTATTTTCAAGCATCAAACCGGTTCTATATTTCCTATATCCTAGGAATCTCATAGGCATCTTGTCTCCATGAATTGATTGGTCTCTCTTGAAGGTTAGATGTCCAGCTGGAAAATGCCAAACGAGTATCTGCAAAAATACGTGAGCCATGTTTGTAAAAAAAAAAGGCACCTTTATTTTTTTTAATCGCCGAAGTAGAAAAATTAGAATTTTCTTTTTAAAAATTTGGAAGAGTTTTTTTTCACTTCCGTCATCAATTGCAGAACTTTAAAAATTCGCTAGTTTTTTTAAATACCGAAGCATGTTCATTGCAAAATTATTTGAACATTTAAAGCCGAAGTTGTGCTTTTTTTTCTTTTTCTTTGGAGTGAAATTCAGCTTCGGAAAATTTCAAGTACCTTCGGGGCATTTTTTTTTTCAGATTTTCTCCTGTATAAGTTCAATTTGAATTGTGTGTTTTCCGTATCTTATTTTCGTATTTATTGATAACTTATTCTGGTTGAAGTGTCAGGAGGTAAATGAGGCATTGATTGCCAAAAAAAAACTAACAGTGTGCAAATTGGACAGTCGAAGTCGCGTCTATTTTTAACTGTCTCATCTGTCGGAAGGAAAAAAATATTTTAGCAGTAAATGCGTATATAAAATTCGCACATTCCATTTGGTTCGGGATTTTTGTGTTTATCTTTCCAGTTGTTTTTTTTTTATTCGCGGTAATCACATTTTCTGCGACGTGCAATTTCGCTGGCATCAGGATGCGAATATTCGAATTTTTCTTTCTTTTCGCGGGGACGTGAACAACCGTTAGTATTCATTATCTTGAAAAGTAACGGGTTCTTTTCAAGAGCTGTTTGTCCGGTTTATTTTTTTCTTCTTTCTTCTCCTTCTTCACAACTCGCGAAGGCTTCGAAAAAAAAAAGGTGGTTATTCTGGTTCTCAGACTCCTGACCCGAGGTGTGCTGTGGAATTATGTCCAGTTCTGGTGCTGTTTTTTTATTTTTTTAAATTTTATTTGTCTTGAGAGATCATAAGTGTTTGGACCACGAAGGCGAACGAAAGCTTCGGGCGAAATAACGTTTTTTGGGCTCGTTTGATTCGGATAGCAGAGCCTTGCGTCTCGGATTATGAACTGCGTGACGCGTGATTATTCGTGAGGAAAAGGTTAAACTCGAAGCTGTGGTAAATTGAGATTTTAGCATTTGTTCTTTTTTTTGGTGTGTGTGCGAACGCTTTTCGTTCCTGGTTTCTGTTTGTCGTGTTGGAAGATCAACTGAAATTCAAATTTTTCAGGTTTTAAATTTTCTGATTTTTGATTTAAAGTTGAACCATTTCCAGACCAACTCTCAACCACACATGAACAGCCATTAATCATTTCAATCTCAGTGTTCCTCCTGAATTTTCTATGATCTTACCCTGATTTTAATTCCAATACAGTATTGAAAGTTCAACACCCAGCAGAAAAGGGTATATTCTCTACAACTTTTGTGTGGCAATAAGTGTAATATTCATCCTGAGGCAGGGGGAAGAAAATGCCAGCATCAAAAGCAAGTGTTTCCATAAAATCCACCAAGAAAATCTGTTCCATTAAAAAAAAAAAAAGAATTACTCCCGAATAATAATTCCAATTTGTATTCCAGTTGAAAAGTTTACACCCAACAAAAAGGGTGACTTGAACTAAATGTTTTCCCATTTTTGTGTGACTTAACAATTCATCTTCATGCAGAGAGAAAGAAAATGCCAATATCAGCTTGTGTCCCATCACATCCACCCCCTCTCCCCAAGTGAACATTGTTCCCATTTATTTTGATCTTCTCCCTGTTGCACTTACAATTTCCATGATTTTGCAATAATTCTTATTTTAATATTGAAAATGCACATCACCCAACAAAAAGGTGTTTTGACCTAAATTCTGTCCCACTTCTGTGTGGCAAGTAATCCTCAAGGTCCCATTTATTTTGAAATATCCCCTGTTCCTCTTTATTGTTTATGATATTTGAATAACTTCAATTGAAATGTTGAAGAGTCCACCCCCAAGAAACTGGGTGACTTGACCTTAAGTCTGTCCCAGTTCTGTTTGGCTAGTAATCCATCAAGCATTCCCAATAAGGTCCCCTTTAAAAATCAGTCCCATTTGTTTTAATATGCTCCCAGTTGCTCTTGTAATTTTAATGGTCTTGCAATAATTATTATTTCAATACAGTATTGAAAATTTGCACATCACTCAACAAAAAAAGGTGACTTGACCTAAATTCTGTCCCAGTTCTGTGTGGCAAGTAATTCATTAAGTACCCTCAAGGTCCCCTTTGAAAAGCAGTCCCATTTATTTTAAAGTACCCCCTGTTCCTCTTGAATTTTCTATACAGTATTTTGATATCTTCAATTGAAATACAGTATTCAAGAGTCCACTCCCAAGAAACAGGGTGACTTGACCCAACAAGTCTGTCCTAGTTCTGTGTGACAAGTAATCCATTAATTACCCGCAAGGTCCCCTTTCAAAAGCAGTCCCATTTATTATAAAATACCCCCTGTTCCTCTTGAATTTTCTCTATTTTAATAACTTTAATTGAAGTATTCAAGAGTCCACTCCCAAGAAACAGGGTGACTTGACCTAAATTCTGTCCCAGTTCTGTGTGGCAAGTAATCCATTAAGTACCCTCAAGGTCCCCTTTGAAAAGCAGTCCCATTTATTTTTAAAATAACCCCTGTTCCTCTTGAATTTTCTCTATTTTAATAACTTTAATTGAAATATTCAAGAGTCCACACCCAAGAGAAGGGGTGACTTGACCTGAAGTCTGTCCCAGTTCTGTGTGGCAAGTAATCCATTAAGTACCCCCAAGGTCCCCTTTGAAAAGCAGTCCCATTTATTTCAAAATACCCCCTGTTCCTCTTGAATTTTCTATATTTTAATAACTTTAATTGAAATATTCAAAGAGTCCACTCCCAAGGAACAGGGTGACTTGACCTAAAGTCTGTCCCAGTTCTGTGTGGAAAGTAATCCATTTAGTACCCCCCAAGTTCCCCTTTCAAAAGCAGTCCCATTTATTTTAAAATACTTTTAATATGTTCCTCTTGAATTTTTTATATTTTAATAACTTTAATTGAAATATTCAAAGAGTCCACTCCCAAGAAACAGGGTGACTTGACCTAAAGTCTCTCCCAGTTCTGTGTGGCCAACTAATCCATCTTGAGGCAGGGGAACATCATCAGCAAGTGTCTCCCCCAGAGTCCCATGTCCACCCCTCCCTCCCCAAAGTTAATTTGTCCATCCCGTTCATTGCTCCCGCGCGGAAACCCCGGGATGGGGAGAGAGACTTTCCCTGCTTCTCATGCTCAGTGTGCTAGTATTATGTGTGCTGTGCACGTACATATTACAGTAAATACCTCTTTATAAAAAATTAAAAAAAAAAGAATTTCGCCGGTGTTTCTCCTGTCTTTCTTCTTTTCCTCCGTTTTTTCCCCCCCTTCCTCCCTCCAAAGCCACCCCCCTCAGGCATTATTGTACACGTGCGTGCTGCTGCTGCTGCTGCTCTTTCTAATGGTGATGGCTCGCCTTTTTCATTGCGAAAGTCAAAAGCCCCCCCCTCCCCCCCCCCCTCGTCCATTTACTGAGTTGTGCAAGTGGTTTGTGTGTGTGTTGCCCATAGCGGCTCCTGGGTTGCCAAGACCCATCCTGATGAGGAAGTGGCGAAATTCCCTTTTTTTTTTTATATTTTCTCTCATGTTCACATGGCGTACGTGAGTTATTTATTTTATTTCCTAGTATTTTTTTTTCTCTCTGTTGCCGCGCGTCTCCTGCTTTCTTGCTCGTCTTTTATTTATTTATTTATTTATTTTTCTCTTCAATAAATCAGCGTATATATAGGGACAGATGACGGATGTCGTTATTTTTCATTGGTTTTTATGAGGGATTTTTTTTAGAATTATTTTTTTACTGCTGGTAAGAATTACTATTTTCCCGAGGAATGGGAACGTCTTGCTGGAGAAGCTGGTTCTGAAAATGAGAAATGGTGAATATTAATATTGAAAATAGGTTAGCTGAAATTGGGTTAGGTTAAAGGACTGAGATTATTTGGTTAGTTTGGGTATGTCATACAGAAGGTGGGGGTTGCTCATGGAAGTTTGTAATGTATTACAATATGTACTGTCTAGTACAGTATTTTGAAATGCTGAAGTTTTGATTGTAGTACTTTTAGTGGGTAATGCTATGGGTTGAATAGGCTAAATCAAGTTTAGATTAGTTTGTATAAGGATTGAATGATTCAAGTTGGGGTTAGATATTTTATGTTTGCTCTGCAGTAATGGAGTTTTAGAACAAGTTGGGGACAGGATTATTTTGGCTTGAATATTTCATGTTGAATTGACTCATGCAAAATAAAATCTGATCTGTCCATTTTCTTTATCTGACGAAATTCCTTCAGGAAAGGGCTCCTTTTGAAATATTTTAGCTCAGAATTTTCTGTGAAAAATCTAAAAAATAAAGTGTATGTGTTTGTAAATTACTCTTATTCAAGTTTTTTAATATGATTTTTTCTTTCGGCCAAATGAAAGAAGAATTTCTTCCGATTATTTAAATTGTTTTTTTTTCAGAAGTAGTTTGTTTTTTAAATTGATATCTTTGACCTAATTTCAGCTTTATGTTGAACTGAGAGAAAACGAAGGATATTTTATAAATATTTTCTTTACTGTGATATCTTGATAAACGCATTTCGAAAACAGGGGAAAAATAATTCGAAGACTCATTTCTTGCGAAACAGTCTCGTTTATTATTTTTTTTCCTTGAATGCCACATGGCTGATGCGCTTCGGTTCATGATTACGAGCTTTTTTTTCCCCTCGGTTGATCTTGAAGAAACAATGTTTCGACAACAGCAAAAAAACAAAATTAGAAGATGATTCAATTTTCTGCTCGGTCGCGCAGTTTCAAGTTTTCGCCATGTTGCGTATTACAGTCGGCGTATTATTTCGAAGAAAAAAAGAAACCAGTCTTTCTGCGAGTTTCACCTACGCATTTTTCACAGACAGCTTTTGTAGCGGTTTTTTTTTTTCAGACCGGTTCTTCAAGAACTTGTTTTATTGTCTTGGTGATGAGAAAATGTTGGGATTAATCTTTTTTTTATGATTTTTTTTATACTGTGCGTTAGTTATTGTCCGACGTAATTTTAAATACATTTCACGTAGGGGATATGCGTAATTAGTCAGATTGAGTACTTTTTTTTTTAGGGGACATTAATTAATTTTCCAGATTTACAAATATGAAGGGAACTGCATCATGACAGGATTATAGGATGCGGACACATTTTATGGGCGGACTATTCTTAGTTTTTTCAGTGACCGGCGGGAAGATGGAGACGAAAAGTCGTTGAACCTCTGAGGCCTCTTGGTGGGTGCAGGTACAAAAGTTGTAGAGCTCAAAACAACGCCGGCTTTCTGGCACCCTGGCGGATGGTTAGAGCAGCTTGTTGACTTCCACAAATTTAATTTCTATGAATATACCCACTTGATTAAAATTTCCTCTCAACATGTTCACAAGATGGTTCAAATTTGAAAATTTCTAATTTATCTCATTCTACAGTACTTGAATGATTTGCTGATACTGCATACATAGCACAGAGGAATTGCTGCAATCAATTAAAATGGAAGCTGTCAGTTTGTTGAATAAAAATGCATGTGTTGAATTTTTAAGGTTATTATTGTCAGAACAACTTGCTGGAAATTAAAACATTTAAAGAAGACGCTGAAGCAGCTAATGTCCAAGGGCTATTGATTTCCTGATGCACTGTAACAAATTTCAATATTTACCTGCATTATGTATCCATCAAAGTTTATTCAGAAGATGTTTCCAAGATCAAATAAGAAACATGCAACAACTATTGGATAAAGTCAATATTATTGAACTCATAGAAAAGAAGCTTATTTAACTTGAAAAATTAAAGTTGATGCAACCCTCTAAAGGCAAATGTCAGAGAAGAAAATGAACCCAACAAAACTCATGTTAAAAATGATTTGTATGCTTGAGAAACCCTGTCTTGATGCTTAAGAAATTGTAAGCTTTTTTGGAACATAATATCCACCCTTACAAATCTGTTCAGGAATTCCTTAGAAGAACTTGAAGCCAACAAAAAGTTCTGGTGTTGACCAGTTATTCTGAGTAATCTTGATGCTTAAGAAATTGTAAGCTTTTTTGGAACATAATATCCACCCTTACAAATCTGTTCAGGAATTCCTTAGAAGAACTTGAAGCCAACAAAAAGTTCTGGTGTTGACCAGTTATTCTGAGTAAGTGCTTGTTATCAACATTTAGAATTTTTTCACATTTTGTAAATGCTGAAAACATCTGAAAAGGTCACAGAAGGAAGATGTTGTAAGTATGCAGGTTTAATTTTTAGAAAAGCTTATTATCACTGAAAAATTTCAAAAATCTTGTTTAACAAATTGCTTGGTGTAAAAAACTTTTTCTGAAGTCCCCGCAAGTTTACTGTACAGTGACACAAACCTGGGTTAACTGATAGAAACAAAAGTTATTTTTAGAATGAAACTGTAACCAGGAATTTATGCCAAGCTATGTAATGTGGAATGATTTTATAAAATCTTTGAATAAAGATGAAAAGAACTGTTATTCTTTGCATCAAACCATTCAAAAATAACAACAAACAGAGACTATAATTTCAAACTCATCAGGGAATCTAATTTCACCCAAAAATCCAAGCTGGGAATATTTTCCCTGTAGTTCTTATAGAATTGGAAACACCATATGATTTCATGATAAACCCCTGTCTTATGCAAAGCAGGGTCCACAAAATGAAGCAAGAAACTTTTTGCAGTCTGATCCCCTTTTCTGTATAAAATCCATGTGCTGTAGAAATGCTGAGTATAGACACATGTCCATTAACTGGGGGCACCATTGTATCAATAATTCTTCAAATTTCAACTTTGGAGATCTTTCAGCACTTGGGTGTTTTGTAGTGACTCCCAGCTGTGTTGGACAGGATTCCTTTGCGCTGTAAGGATGGCGCAGCAGCCTTTGAGGCTCTGCTGCTTGTTCCCCTCTAAGAACATTTACAAATTAAATGGAAAAAAAGGAGGAAGTTGTCAGAGCCCAGAATTTTTCTTCCCCTCTGGCTGTTAAGAGCCACGCAGTCCACAAGGGGCTTTCCAAAAGTACTGATACTATCGCTTATTGATATTTCTTGTGTGGCTCCAAAAATATGAAGCTGTTATATATACTGGTTTGACAGGTATATGTAGTGCTGTACAACAGAAGAAACTAAATGCTTGATTATTCAAAAGCTACTTTCAGCAAAAAATCTTCCAAGAATATCTCAAAACTAGAAAATTTTATTTTAAAATCTAAAATATTTCTGCATTGGCAACATTTCTTGCATTATACATTCAATGGAATCTGTGTCACATCACATCCATCAAGATTGATTGAAAGTTTCTTACATAACAAAAATCAGAATTTGAATTGATCAGTGCTTTCACAAAACTTCTAAATTTATTTACTTTCAAGTTCCACACATTTACTCTTTAAAATTTTATTGAATTTTATTAACTTAATCAACTTGATTTTATTGAATTTTATTAACTTTATTAACTTGATTTTATTGAATTTTATTGACTTAATTAACTTGAATGTACTGTACCTCAATTTGTAGTAATGAGGTACATGTTGATCTAGATTTGATGGTGCTGGAATTAAATCTGTCTCAGGACCAAATGCATAAACTATAATTCTGTATTTATAGCTGCTTCATAAATTGAAGATTTTTTTCAATTGCACAGAAAAAATGTTCCTTGTCATGAATTTTCAAATGAAATAATTACTTTTTTAAAACCCCTGTCCCACTTTTAGTCCCATGAGATGCTCCCTGTCCCACTTTTAGAGTCATTTTTCTTAAATTTTACAGAAGTTTGAGTTGCTTTGAAAAATGTTCCTTGTCCTGAATTTTCAAATTAAACAATTAATTTTTCAACATCCCTGTCCCATTCATAAAAGTTTCATCAGATGCTCCCTGTCCCACTTTTAGAAACATTTCTTTTTAATTTTACAGAAGTTTGAGTTGCTTTGAAAAATGTTCCTTGTCCTGAATTTTCAAATTAAATCAAATTTTCAACATCCCTGTCCCACTTTTAGAAACATTTCTTTTTAATTTTACAGAAGTTTGAGTTGCTTTGAAAAATGTTCCTTGTCCTGAATTTTCAAATTAAATCAATTTTTCAACATCCCTGTCCCACTTTTAGAAACATTTCTTTAAAAATATATCTGAAGTCCCATCAGCTGCTCTCAGTTTTTCAAATTGTCACTGGCCCTGCTGAAAAGCATTTTTTTTACATTTTGGTTTTTACAAATTTCAAGGAAATAACTTTTTGATTTGCCCCCATAATTTTTCGGCTATTGTTCCTCTTGGATGAGAAGGAGTTGCGATAACGCAGTGTGAAGTCTTTCAGTGTTCCTCTCACAGCCCTGTTGTATGCAGATGAGCGGAGCTGTGTCGTAATGACAAGAGAGCCTGGAAAATAATTAACCTTCTGTAGGCGATTGTGGTTGGAAGCGCTGTGATTCGCATTACCTGCAGGTTGAGTGCTGTTGTGACTGGACAGGCCATGATGTTGCATGGCATTCAATGTAGTTTTCATTTCTGGATATCACGAGAAGAGGACAGTGAATCATGTGTGATTTTCCCAGGGAAAATACAACACTGTAAAATAAAAAAAACAATAATAGCAAGGACAGTATTGTTTGTTCTCTTGGTACTTTTTTTATTGGCACAAATCCCAAGATGAAATTTGTCAACAAAAATTGCCTAAATGTCAGTATGGTAACATGTAAAAAGTATTTTTTATCATCATCTTGTGCAGAGAAGGGAAATGAAATGCAGTGCAGTAAATTTATTTATTGTGAAGCATTTTCCAAAGGCAAGGAAACAAATTGCAATTACAGAATCAAGATGGACGTTTTGCTTTTGATGAAAACATTACTCCATTAAATGTATCAAATGATCTACATTTTGGCAGTCTGCATGGGAGCCACTAACCAATCTACTGAGATTTACATAACAAATTTAATAAACTTGATTTGATTGTTATTGGAATTTCAGTCTATTATACTGATTGAACCACAACACAATTGGGATTTCTATGAGATACTTGAAGTGCATTTTGAGCAAAATAACCTCTTTATACACAGTACTGTAGTTCCCTAGTGTTGAAATGAGTGGAGAGTCCAAAACAAGTCAGCCATTCCAATAAAGATTTACAAATATTCTTCAAATTTACTTGATGGATAATGTGCTTCTGAAAGTCTTTTAAACTGAAGCACTGCTGTGAAAGTTGCAGAATTTGTGACAGGAATTGAATTTTATTTTTAACAAATTACTGTTAGCATGTTCAATAGTTCCACAGTTTGTATTCTTATGTAAATTTTGGGATTTAAATGAACTTCATTGATCACTTGGTTACACAATTCCTTTAACTGAATCACAATACAGATGGACTACCTCTCTACAATGTTATTCATGGGACTATAAATACAGAAAATTTTTTTGCACAGGATCCTAAGGGACAATAAAAAATTCGTTGTACAGAGAAAATTGTTCTCATTAAAAAAGTCTCATTAAAAAATCGTGAGTATTCTGTGATACATTTGCACAGATTAGTCCTTATAAATAGCTGAAAAAAGTCTCTAAAATGAGAGGGATCTGGTGATTTTGTCAACTCTCATGGACTTTTCACTGAAATTAATGATTTGAGTCCATCAACTGAGACACAGCTATCTGAACATTTCTAGCTACATTTGTTCTGCATAACTTCAATTTTTAAATGGAGAGAATTTTGTTGCACAGAGTCCCTTTAAATTATGGAGAAAACCCTATGGGACAACAGAAAATTTCATATTACACAGATAATTCTTGTAGAGAAAGTCCAGCTGTGTACATTTAAAATTTTGTGAGAGTATTTTTTATATATTTAAGCACATTAGCCCTTATAAATAGCTGGAAAATTACTCTAAAATGAGAGGGTTCTGGTGATTTTTTTTTACACTCAGATAATGGACTTCTCACTAGAATGGTTCAAGTCCATTAACTGAGACACAGCTTTCTGAAAATTTCTAGCTGCATTTGTTCTGCATAATTTCATTTTTTCAAATGGAGATAATTGTGTTGTGCAGTACAGATAAAATCGTTGTAGAGAAAGTCCACCTGTAAACATTGAAGAATTTGTGAGAGTATTTTGTGAAACATTTAAGCAGATTGGACCTTATAAATAGCTGAATATTCTTTAAAATGAGATGGTTCTATGTGGTGCTTTTTTACACTTATATATAATGGACTTCTGGAATGGTTTGAGTCCATTAACTGAGACTTTTCACTGGAATGGTTTGAGTCCATTAACTGAGACTTTTCACTGGAATGGTTTGAGTCCATTAACTGAGACTTTTCACTGGAATGGTTTGAGTCCATTAACTGAGACTTTGCGATGGAATTTTGAGTCCATTAACTGAGACTTTGCGATGGAATTTTGAGTCCATTAACTGAGACTTTGCGATGGAATTTTGAGTCCATTAACTGAGACTTTTCACTGGAATGGTTTGAGTTCATTAACTGAGACTCTTCACTGGAATGGTTTGAGTCCATTAACTGAGACACATATTCGTATTCATTTTCATATATATATTTTCGTATATATTTTCATATTCATTTTTTGAGACTTTTCACTGGAATGGTTTGAGTCCATTAACTGAGACAGCCTTATGAAAATTTCCATCATCATTTGTGGTGCACAACTTCATTTTATTTATTTTTTAAAATCTAAGCCAATGGTAATTCATCACACATTCTACAATTGTACCTGTCCTTGGGGGACATGTTCCATGTCTGTGAAGAATCACACCTGAGTTCTCTGCTTGCCTCGCGCGGGAAGAAGAAGAAGAAGGGGATCTACAATCCCAGCACTTGGTTCATGTATTTCTGGCTGTCTGAGAAGATTCTCGTTACATTGCCTGGGTTCTTTCTTGGAGTTGCTCTGTTGATCACAAAACCATGCAGTGACCCAAGTGGACGTGATTCGAGTGAATGTGACTTGACCGTTTGTGTGTGTTATATTGCTGGCTCTCGGTAACTTTAACCTTCAGGTCGGAAAATGTGCTCGTAAATCAGAATATTACAGGCTTTATTTTTAATTTTTTTTCTCGTTGCATGCGGGTGCTTTGTGAAGCAGAGGAAAGGATCCTGTCTCCATGATGGTGGTGAAGACTATAAGCTTGCTGGACTCGAAAAATCCCCTGCCTTTCAATTTTTTTTTCTTTTTCAACTTTTTTACTTGAGATACATTTCTCTGTGTTGGTTGAACGAATTTTTTTCTGGAGAGTGAAGCTTGATTCAAATATTGAATTCATGCAGAAGTGAACTAAACCACTCCAGCATGATTTTTTGATGTGCTTTGCAGAACATGATTTTGCACAAGTTATAAATGGAGCCTAATCAAGGCATTTTAGAAAGTTGCATGAAACTTTGAACAACTGAATGTGTCAGCTATATAGTAAGTAGTGTTAATTTTAGGAATGAAGACACATTGAAGTATGAAAAATGAAATGGAACATTTTAAATGTTCTTCATCATATTATATGTCCAATATATTGATTATTAAATTGAAGACATCCTGGGAATTTAGAATATGTGCATTACTGTATTTTGATTATTAAATTAAAATAATCCTGGATATTTAAAATAATGTATGTCCAATATATTTATTATTAAATTGAAGTAATCCTGTGAATTTGAAATATGTCAAATGTATTTATTAAATTTAAGTAATCCTGGAATTTGAAATTTGTCTAATATATTGATAATTAAATTTGAGTGATCCTGGGAATTTAGAATGTGTCCAATACTGTATTTTAATTATTAAATCGAAGTAATCCTGGGAATTTGAAAAATGTCCTATGTATTGATTATTAAATTAAAGTAATATAGTACTGCGAATTTTCTGAGAAGATTCTCGTTACATTGCCTGGGTTCTTTCTTGGAGTTGCTCTGTTGATCACAAAACCATGCAGTGACCCAAGTGGACGTGATTCGAGTGAATGTGACTTGACCGTTTGTGTGTGTTATATGCTGGCTCTCGGTAACTTTAACCTTCAGGTCGGAAAATGTGCTCGTAAATCATAATGTTCCAAGCTTTATTTTTTTCTCTCATTGCATGCGGGTGCTTTGTGAAGCAGAGGAAAGGATCCTGTCTCCATGATGGTGGTGAAGACTATAAGCTTGGACTAGAGAAACCCACTGCCTTTCAATTTTTTATCTATTCAACTTTTTTTTTTAGATAAATTCTGCGCTTTTTTTCTTCTGGAGAGTGAAGCTTGAATTCAAATATTGGATTTATGCAGAAGTGAACTGAACCACTCCAGCATGATTTTTGATGTGCTTTGCAGAACATGATTTTGCACAAGTTATAATTGGAGCCTGATCAAGGCATTTTAGAAAGTTGCATGAAACTTTGAACAACTGAATGTGTCAGCTATAGTAAGTAGTGTTAATTTTAGGAATGAAGGCACATTGAAGTATGAAAAATGAAATGGAACATTTTAAATGTTCTTCATCATATTATATGTCCAATATATTGATTATTAAATTGAAGACATCCAGGGAATTTAGAATATGTGCATTACTGTATTTTGATTATTAAATTAAAATACTCCTGGATATTTAAAATAATGCATGTCCAATATATTTATTATTAAATTGAAGTAATCCTGTGAATTTGAAATATGTCAAATGTATTTATTAAATTTAAGTAATCCTGGAATTTGAAATTTGTCTAATATATTGATAATTAAATTTAAGTGATCCTGGGAATTTAGAATGTGTCCAATACTGTATTTTAATTATTAAATCGAAGTAATCCTGGGAATTTGAAAAATGTCCTATGTATTGATTATTAAATTAAAGTAATATAGTACTGCGAATTTAAAAAGTGTCAAATAGATTGATTTATTAAATTTAAGTAATCGTGGGAATTTAAAATCTGTCCAATAAATTGAACTTTAAATTGAATTTGAGTAATCCTGGTAATTTAAAATACTAAATTTCAGCGAATACATGAATTATAAGGGCTATGTAAAAAAAAACTTGGTACTCCTTCAGTGCTCGCATCAATTTATTTAAAGATCCAAAATTTAAGCTGAAAATTTACTAAAATCCATGCTTTTTTCTTCGCATGCGATTTGTTTTTCGTTCATCCTAACTTTCCAAGTCAGGATTCGTTGTATGAGTTTTTTTAAACTGGAGCTTATGTATGCAGTACTTCAGAATGAGTGAATGATCATTTAAATCTTCTTTCAATGAAACGATCGAGAACCAAGAAAAGTCATTATGTAAGACTTGTTGCTTCCTGATCCAGAATAAAAAATTTTGTTTTTTTCTAAAGAAGGGCTGTCAAATAAAATATTGAAATGAAAAAGGCAAATACTAGATTTCCCTGCAGTTTTATAAAATTTCAAGAGCGTCAGAAAATTGCAAAAACCCGAAGAGCGAAATTTTGAAAATCCGCGTTTCAGAAATTATACTTGAAATTTATTTTTTCGCATTATTTTCACGAAATTGCCTCTTAGGAATAATTACTTGAATTATTATTTTTTCTTTGTTGACTGATTGTCGCATGGATCAATCGACTGAAAGAAAGTATCGCACTGCGAAAATGAAGAAAGCCCCTACATTTTAAAATAAATACTATAGTTTTATAAAAGCACAAAATGATCAAAAATTTATTTAAAAACAAACCGAAGAACTTTATTAAAGTTGGAAATCGCTTTGTTGATTGATTTCGCACATTTTGAAAAGTAATTCTGTTTATTTTTAGAAGCAAAAATATTGTAGAATAATTTCTAAAATCGTAATAAAAACTTGTCTTCCCTAAATAATTCAAGAAGACAATTTCCGAACAATTTGCTTCACATTTCTCGGTTAATGGACATCCCACTGCTGGACCCGCTCAAGTCCATTAACCGAAGCACCTCTTCATTATATTTCTTCCGTGATAAATCTAAAATTTTCTTTTTACAATTTCGAAATATTTCTCAAAATCTGACTGAAAAAAAAACACTTGGGATTCATCAAGTGTGTACAATTTCTTTGTGTGGTCTGTATCCAAGTATATAATTTTTTTTTTCGCAGGCATGACCGAGGGGAAAAAAGAAGGGTTTTTTTGTTTCATGTAAACCTCACCTGTGGCATTATATCCTGTTGAACTGTAATTAGACTAGTCAAGGTCGCAGGAAAGGAAAGGAAAGAAAAAGACAGTCGATGCGCTCTTTCTTTCTTTTTACTATATTATTTCCTGTGAACATGAAGGAAAAAAAAACAAGAATGAAGAGATCTTTTGTTCTGGCTTGAAGGAAATGCGGAAATCGAATCACGACGCGTAATTTTGGTGGCCTGTCTTGAGTTGCAAGACATCAGAATAAGCTCTTGTGTGTGTGTGTACTGTATATATGAAGAGATGATCACTTTTTGGTGTGCTTGAGAAAAGTTGAGATGTGTTGTGGGGGTCGTTTGGGGTGAGAGCACAATTATTTCCCCATCCAGAGTATTTTATTCATTACATTTTATTTATATTATCTGAATTTAATGCTGTTGGGCATGTATGTTGAAGAGTTTAAAATTCTTGGTTGGTGCATTTGGATTTTGGTTTCATTAGTCTTTCCATATCCCTGTGGGATCAAAACCAGAATTTAAAGTTTTGTATGTGCCAATTTTCGCATTTTTTACAAATATTATTTTATGTAATTATTTTTTTATATTTTTATGCAATCTATTTTTTTAAATTGAAATATCTGTCTTGTGTCATTTTTTGATTGCTGATTCTGAAGTTCTTGAAGGTGCCCAAGTTTAAGAAATCAAAATTCTTTTAAACTCTTGTGAAATCAGTGCCAAAATTTTAAAGAAGTATGCATTTAGTCATTTGCTGTAAAATTGTCTTGGCTTATTGCTTGTGTCTGGTGGATTGTGGATGATTCAAGAGCTTTTTTTCAATATCTTTTGGAATGACTTTTTGTTGTTTGCCTAATTTTGTGCTTTATATATATCACCCTGAAAACGTTATAGTTGTAATCAGATCTCTCTATATATTCAACAAGAAAAAACATGGACTGTGTAGAAGTGCCAATTTGAATAAACCATCTTTAGTTTATGTTTTTTTATGCTTTGAAGTGAATAAGTTTCCTTATGGTATTAATGTTGAGGATACATTGTTGGCTTGTTTTGATGGGCTGAGTGTGCTTTTGTTTGTCCTTGTGCCCAGTGGGTTATTCATATTAAACTTTTATTTTATGATGCAGACTAGTGTGAAGTTCCTTAGTTTGTCTCAGTATCTGAACTGGAGACACTATTGGAATATATATTCTTGGGATGCATACTTTTTTTTAATTAACACGTTTTTATTAACTCGCTTTCTTGTCCGTTTGTTTGTCTGGATCAAATTTTGCAACTCAAATTTCGCTCACTTCCCGACTANGCTATGAACCCCATTACTGAGCAAAGGTTCAGTTACCCTGTGGGGAAGTGTTGACTGATTTTTAGAGCAGATTGGAGGGAATTTCTAGCATCAAGATACAATTAAATCCTTCTGTGTAACAAAGCCTGGAAAATGCCTTTAATTTATAATTATATAATATATATAAAATATAATATATTATATAATAATATAATATATTATATTATATTATAATATAATATTATTATATTATTTTATATATTATATTATATAATAATATAATATATTATATTATATAATAATATAATATAATTATTATTATATATATATATATATTATATAATATATAGTATATTATACAGTAATATATAATATTATATTATATAATATATATTATATAACTTAAATTTTATTTTTATTTTAATATCCAATTCAAAATCTGTTGCAAATGAGAATTTTTTGTGAGCAGAAATGTGTTTTAAATACTGCAATATGTTGAAAAGAAAAGTTTTTAACAAAAATCAGTGGTGAAGAATAATCTATGTGATCAGATTCATTTTATGAAAATTCTAATGTAATTATAATTTTCAAGTTAATTCATTTTCATCTCAAATTTGTTGGTTCACCCTGAATAGTTCTGTAGTCAAATTTCCTTTTCAATTTTGTGTTGGGTTGGAGCAAATACTTTTGTATATTCTAAAAACATTGATTTCTTTGTTTAGTGATCTATTTTAACCTGCTGTAAATGAGTTATTGAACACTTTTCAATGGCAAGAACAAATGATCAGCTGTACTTTTAGTTGGAAAACAGAAAACCCTCTTCCAAAACTGTTCTGCTTTTAATCTCTTTTTCAAGACAGTATTGCGTATTTTTGATTTTCTGCTGAGACATATAGGCAAATTTTTCTTGTGCCATTAGGTGATGATTTATATGCTGATGGATCAGAAAGCCTCTTCTCGAAAAATTTTGATCACTAGTGAGATCTATTCATGAATAAAATGTTTTTTATTCATTTTGTTTTTCAGATCTGTGCTTGAGGGCAGTTTTCAGTTGCCTGACTAAAAAGTGTACAAGATTTCAAGGAAGGATCTGTTCGAAGACATGAAAGGACAAGACAAGGAATTTGACAACCCTGCCTACCAGGTTGATGTGGAACAAGGCTCTTCTATATCTGGCCCAGTGACGTCTGATGAGACTGAAGCAGTGAACATTGAGCTGGTGAATGCTGGAGACAACCGACGGGTCGGGTTTGAGTCTGAGAGCTCTGATGGATACTTTATGGCTCGCAGTGTCTCTGGGTAAGCTTCAGGAAAATATCAAATTTGTAATAACTTATTTTCTTAGATTTATGGGTTTTTTATAAATGGGAACCGCACAACTGAGTGCCATCCAACTCAGCGCAGGGGAGAACTGAGCGCATTCCAACTGAACTTTTCTTGCAGATTTATTATATTGTTGTAGCAAGGTTTCCTTTGAGTTCAATTTCACTCTCTTGATTTTCTATAGGTTCTCTGGCGTTTTTTATTGTGGCAGCTATAACAAATAATCCTAAGGACTGTTTTGCACCTTCGAAAGATACTGTGTTCTGAAAATTATCCCAAATTCTGGCCATTTTGCTTAAATTGCTAGTATTGAAGTGCATGAGAAGATGGCTTTTACACCACAGTACAGTATTGCTATTTTATTTTTATTAATGGGAGTGACCCTGTTTGACCATCAAGTAGAATCAGGTGATTGATCAAACACTCATTTGTGTGGTGCCAAGTTGTTCCTGGACCTTTCAATAAAATCCACACAATGAACCAGAAAATTATATTTCAATTCATTTACTGTATTTTTTAAATTGAAAACAATGCTGAACTTCTGTTGATCTGAATTTTTGAAGAAGGGAAAATCGGTCAAATTTAATTTTTTACATTTTAAAAATCCAAATCTCCCAGTTTCTGTTTAGGCAAACATTTGACAGTAATTTCAAAGAAACTCTTATTTAGAGGTAATTCATCATGTTGAATTCTCTGCAAATTTTATATTTTCAAATCTATTCTCAAGTCATCCTTCCAGGTTTAAAATTTATACAATGATCTATGAATATGAGACAAAAAGGAGAGGTTGGAAATAAATTGATGAGCTTGATAAATTGATAACCATTTTGAGTGACTTTCATAGTGTTGTATCATTTAGCCATGATTGGTAGGTGATGCAACAGTACAGTATTACAGCTTGCAGTATTGTAGAGCAAAATCTGAGTACACTGGAAAAAATTGAATTTTTTGATCAATTCCATCGAGTTCACCAGGTTATCTTATGACCCATCAAATCTTGGAATGTAACAAAACGTTTCAATAAGTTCTATCATACTACTGTCTTTGAAGCCCAGTTTATTATCACTTTCAGGTGGTATTTTTTCACAATGATTTTCAACTTTTGCCAGTGAAAAACTGATAGAAGTTTTTAAAATGCGAGGACAATAGGAAAAGATTCGAGGCTTGAGTTGTTGAGTCATCCATGTTCTGTTTGAAAAATTATCTATGAAATGTCTTGATATTCTCCTGGGAAATCTGATGTATTTCATATTTTTCACAGGGCCAAGAGTTTCTATCCACTGACTGATGAAGATGATGAGAAAGTAGCCAGAAGGAGGCGATTGTTGCTGCTGGTTCTTTTCTTTGTTGCTGTTGGTGGACTTGGTGTCTTGATTGGCGCCATGATTGGAGATGGTGAGAAGTTCCATTCTTTTCCCTAGTAATATAAATCAAGATTTTTCAAAATCCCTTCATGCTCTGTGGCAATCCTTTTTTCTTGTGTCCCAAAAATTACTTACGGACTGGAAAAAGTCATGAATTTATAAAATTCATGATTCAAAATTTGTTTTTAAAAATGCTGTGAAAACCTTTTTAAATAAAGATTTACTTTAGATTTGTGAGGGAAATTCACTATGGGAGGAATTGCAAAATAATTTAGAGAATGTTTTCATTTTACTTGGACCTTTTCTATCATAAATAAATGTCTCCAGTCACTCTGCATATTGGTATCAACATTAAAACATTTTCAGCAAAAATTCATTAATGAGCTGACTCTTATCTAATTAGTGTGAGAAGCCAGTCAAGAACCTTTGCATAATTAAAAATAACCACAGTGGCTTAAAAGACCGTTCCAAAGAGGACAACTACGGTAACACATTCAACGACTACTTCGTACTATTTAACTACTTCTCCTACACTATTTTGAAGTAGTTAATTTTCAAAAGGAAAGAAATGTAGTTACAGTTTTGAATTGTTGAAACAATGCAGGAAGTGAAGATGAAAAGAGCCAAGAGGGACTTGGGGCCACTTCTGGAGCCTTGGTGGCACCCAGGGATGGCAGAGGACTGTTGCTGAATGACATCTGGCCTGATGAAGAAACCCCAGAGGACAAGGATATGGGTATGTAACATTATGCTATCCTTCTTCACTCACCAGCCTTTGTTCAAATTTTTTAAATATGGCTTTTTTGAAACTTTTTTGTGGAGCCCAAATTGCCTGAAATACCACTAGACCACCTTGGTACGTAGAATTTTGGGGACCGAACGTTATTTAACTTCAACTAAAATAAAAAACATTAAACCGGTTAAAGGTCACTAAAGACCGTTTTAAGTTATGACATAACTACAATTACTTAACATCTTTCATCTGTCACATTTTCAAGTTTTTGATGCTCAATTAAGGACCTCTTGTGAAAAAAGGTTTTTTAATGGATTGCCTGATTGTTTCAAGAATATTTTGATTCCTCAATCCTAAATAAATTCAAATCAATTAAAGACACACAATCAATTTCTGAGCTTGTTAGTGATGAATCTTGTCCTGAATGTTTTGTGTAAATGTTGGTACTTTCATGGAAATTAATCTTTTTCTATTTTACTCCTGCAGTGCGAGGTGCCTTGGAAGGAGAGTTCATGATAACAAATTACAGATTCTCCAAGAAGCTGCTTGACACAACCACACAGGGATTCAAGTTGACCAAGATGCTTCTTGAAGAAGCTGTGAGCATTGCATTGCATTTTTAATATTTCAGATTAATAACTGAGGAACTGATTTCAGTTGGTCAATGGCCTGGCAGACTCAGCAAGGCTTTCTGTGGATGAGAAGAGGCACTTTAATGTCAAAATCATTGAATTCTTGTGAGTTTTGACACAGTGAAAGAATTATGAAAATATGTCAAGAATCATACACACACACACACACACATCACTACCTTCGAAACCCACGTTCGACTCTTACAGGACCTTCCGTGGTCTCCCGCGATTTGGAGAGAAGTGGGGACTGGACCAGTTCAGGATGGACTAAATGGTGAACACACTCAACCAAGGAATGCTTGGTCCTTATTTGATCCAGAAGTCTTCCATACACTTTTCTTGTGAGAATTACCTTCTCAGCTCTTCTATACTATTGACACTCGTTCATATTTGTTCTGGTGTATTTTATTCTTGCAGATTTCAAAGATGTCTGTGCTTCTGGCAGAGGAGAATGTTCTCATTGGTGTCCGAAGTCGTGTTTTGCGAACCAGAAGTTTACGTACACAGGGTGACTGTACGTAGACCCACTTCTACCCTATTTGACACAGGCCCCACTCACACCTGAAGACTTTCGAAGTCTAAAGTCTCGTTAGACGTTTTTTCGCCCTTTTCAGGGTGTCTGATATATATTGCCAAGCATTGATGTTGTTCGAACAATTTTCAGTACAACTTTTCCAGTTAATATTGGAGTTTGTATGCATTGCCTTTGCTAAACTGCAGAATTTTGAATCTCACCATTTAGTGTGGAAAATATTTTGAAGATGCGTTTGTCAAAATGAGGAAATTTCTCTGGACTCTGAAATTAAGAAGTCCAAGGGATATTATTGCAGTTGGGCAGCAAGAAGAAGTGTATGCCATTTATTGGTCTCCCATTTTTTGATGGTTTTAAATCAATTTATTGAACCCTGAAAACTTTCAGAAAGGAGTAAACAGCACATATTTTCCCCTCTGTTTAAAAAAACACAAATTCAGTTGACATGAAATACTTTTTAATATCTATTATATGGTATTGATTTTGGGAAATCAAATTGTCAGTTGGATAATTTGAAACTTTTTATTTTATCCTGAAATAAACCTGACCAGATCAATGACAATTATTCATTCCTTATGATTATTACTATTATTATTTTCTTTTTTCCTTGATTATTCCTTCCAATAATCTACAATGAAGTGAGAAATATGCTTTTAAATTTATCATTTTGTCCAAAATACGGAAATGCTCTTAGAAATCTGATGAGAACCCTTAATCCAAAAAAGTCTAGAGATGAATAGAGGTTACAAACATTAAAATATTCTTCAGAAACCCTCTACCACCCCCTGCTGCGGAATTAAAAATTTAAGTTTGGATTATTGTATTCAGATGGTGGACTTATTATTTTAAAATCATTTTTGGAACCATTCACTCCTAAAGTATTCTTGATTTTTTTGCAAGGCCGTGATTAGAAGTGTTTCCATGTTATTTTGGTTGTCAAAAGATTAAAATTAAATATCAAATTATTAATCAGTGATTTCTGATTAAACCTGGAAACTTTCAGTATACGCGAACACCTGGGACTTTCCTGGCCATTGAAACAATGCTTGAAAATGTTTAATTTCTTTTTTAAATGACAATTTCCAGGCCCTGGTCCAGTGGACCCTGAAGACTCAGACGAGTCCCCGGCATCAGCTGAACCCGAGCCCCAAAATCGCCCCGAACATTCCCAAGTCTCCAACAGCAATGAAGTCATCTTTTCCACTGATGACGATGAGGATTATGACGACGAGTCTGGCCTGACGCTGTATCGTCCCGATGGCGAAGACGAGCAAGAAGAAGCTGAAGATAAACACAAATCAGTCATCACTACATCTTTACCCGAGTTGCCGCAGATGCCTTGGGATTTGCCGGAAGGTGTGTCACCTGCCGACTTGGGCTTCAGCGTGCACTCGGACGATCACGCGCACGAAGAACCAGATGTCGCTCCTGAGCCGTCACCCGTGCTTCCGCGCGGCAAGGCCGGGAAATCCTTTGACCCCTTGGGATCGATGACCAAATCTGGTGAACCAGCACCTGAACCCGTGTCTGTGGGTGTTCCTGAGCCTGTTGGTGAACCAGCACCGAGTTCTGAACCCGAACCCGAAGCTGTGGGTTCAACTTCTGAACCTAAAGCCGAACCCAGTAATATTGAAAAAGTGGGTTTGCCTCAGCCTGAACCCAGTTTCAAAGAAGTGGCGGGTTCCCCTGAACCTGAACCTGTTCAAAAGCAATCACACGAACCCGTGAATGTATCTCCCGAACCTCAACCCGAATCAGAACCATCTGCGAAGCCAGATGCTGGGTCTCCTGAACCCAAGCCTGAACCTGTGAATAAAGAAGCACCAGTGCTGGGATCTCTTGAACCCAGGAACCCGCCCGAGTCTCTTCCTGAACCTGAACCCATGTCAACCCCTGAACCCGAACCCAAGTAAGCTTTTTTTTCACAAAAGAGATTTAAAAAGAAAGAACTGGAAATGGTTGGTGCTCCTTTTTATATCATCCTCTCAAAATCCATTCCATCTTTTATTTGTAATTTGTCATGTTGGGATTCATTGGAGCTGGTTATGTTTTATTTTATCTTCCTTTGAAGAAATGGCACAAAGACAAGGTTTAGGGTCGTTGTTTTCTGTGTGTGCTCCCATTTTAGTGCCTTGGCTTCATATAGTCACTAGACTTGAAGCAATGTTTTATTTTTCCAGGGACTTTTTTTTTGTGTGCTAGAAATACATGGCAAACATATGGAATCTCCAAACAATAATTTTTGCGCTTTTCTTGTCAGAAATGTTAATACAGTATTTTGAAGGTCTTCCCTTTTCAGGAATAGCATGTGCGACCTGGAAAAACTGTATTAATTTTTGTTAATGTTTTCCAGTGATCACCTTCTTATGATATTGATTGGATCTGAGTCATAGAAAAACAAATGAGTTTTCAAAAGTAATGATGAGGATGGACAAGGCTTTCCCATTGAAATCTATTGGTTGACTGTTCATGTTGGTTGAAAAATTAATTAATATGTATGGGACTTCAAAGAAAAATAATCTCAAACAATTTGTGTTCAGCTGATATTTTTGAAGTACTTTAATGGGCTTCCAACCCTATGGAATATATGGTTCAGTCTCTTTTTTTTTTTTTTAATCAAAGGTATCCTTGAAGGTGATAAAATCTGTGTTTGCATGCATACTGACTCTTTCTCAGGTATTTTTGTGTACCTGATTCAGTTCATAGAGTTTTAGTGCTCAGTTGTCCCCTTTAACCCCCCCCCCCCCCACCCTACCATTTCAGAGAGACCATAGTACTTGAAACATCATGAAAAAAAATGATGTTCCCAAGTTTAGAAATATTTTTGTTAGAATTCACTGGGTTTGTTCTGTGGCTGCTGATAACCTTTGGGTTTGTAAAATCAATAGTAAGGCGCAAGGTCAAGAAAAGAACTTGTAGGACTTCCCTCCTGGTTTATGGTGCATACCAGTATTGAACACACAGGTGCTCTGCAGTCTGGCTGAACTCATTGCAGCAGCGTGATCCATCTTTTTTTCTTTCTCCTTCTTCTGGCATTTCATGTCTAGTTAATGTGACATGCAATCTATTTATGGCCACTCATCATTTGGTGGCTGTTTCTTCTCTGTGGATCCTTATGGAGCTTCCTGATTTACAGGTGTTTTTTTTTACATTTTTTATGGGCGCATTTGAATATATATTTTAATCAGAAAAGTTGTATGGGTGTTGGATGAGGGAATTTCAGTTATTAGATCCGTATGTCACGTTAATTACGGAGACCACACTCATAAAAACGTGTCCTCAGTAAATTATTTAGTCAACGAGAACTAGAACTTTCTTAGTTCAGAGGATTGTCCGGTTGTATATATAACCTGTATGTGCAGTATTTTACTTGGGTTGAATTTTACTACTGAATCATACTCAAAATGATGAGAATAAGTTTGATTTGTCTGACTTGTGTTTTTGAGGATGGAATTATGCTTTCAGGGCTGGCAGGCTTTGCAGAAATGCTAAAATGAAAAATTCTAAAGTTTCCATAGTTTAAAACATAATTTTTCTGCAGTTTTTGGCTGAATATTCTTTTGAATGTAAAGTTTTTACATAATTGTTCATAGACTTCAGTTTTTACAGGTCCTTAATTTACTGATTTCTTCATAGAGGAATTTTCACTCTCAGAATTACAGATCGTCCTTTTAAGATTAACAGTTGAGATTTAATTTACAATAACAAGACCACTCAGTACGACAACCCTTCTCTTGGGACTCTATAAAAACACACCCTCACCCAATCAAACTCCTGTCTAAAAATATTTTTGGAGAGAAATGGATTCTTTAATTAAATTGATTTTATTCCATGGGTCTGGATGAGAGTGAGGCCAGGTTATGTTATGTGAGGGGGATCAAGGGGCCGTTGCCAGGGGTAACCATAACCAAGGACCAAGAACTCATGGTTTTTGTCCAAGGTGTTTCTTGTTTGTGGGACATGGGCCTTGCGTGACATCATGTCTGCCAAGCTGAATGAGTTATGAGGCAGCCATAACTTTGCCCTGCTCAAGCAGTCCAGGAACCAGTTCCAGTCTATTGCTTGCTCAGCTCAGGTCAGGTCACAGTAGTGAGACCACACTTTGACTCTTGAAGGTATATATATATAGTGGTTTCAAGAAAAAGAAAGAAAGGAAGAAAAAGATAGTGAGCCATGTTGAGGATTGGAAAGGCTACCCAGTGTGCCACCAGGATCAGCATGGGGGCCAGGTCCAAGGGTTCCTGGGTGCCCCTGGAATCTGCCCCTGAAGTGATGAACAAGTTTCTCCATGGGATTGGATTGCCTGAGTCTTGGGAACTGGTGGATGTGCCCAGTTTGGATGATGGAGATGGTGTCCTGCCTCCTGCTGCTGTGGCCTTTGTTTTCCTCCTGCCCAAGGACTTGGTTGTTGAGGTACTATACTTTTATTTATTTATTTTTCTGTGTTTTTCTAGAGAAGTGTTCTTATGTTAATTTTCACAAATGTCTTACATTACCAGGAAGAACCTCCCGTTGTCGGGGGTCTTCTCTACAAGAAGTACTTCCTTTGGAAACTGTTACGATCACCGGGACAACGAGAGTAGGTACGACACCACTTGTTTGACCTACTTCACTCACTTTGGGAACAGTAAAAAATATTTTCCAATTCTAAGCAGAAATATGATCAGCTGCAAGATTTTCTTACCACAAATGGGGAAAGCACCCCAACAAGTAGAGCATTATCAGGCGAACAGCATAGTTGTATACAGTATGCAATTATTTAATTTATATCTATTCATACGTTATATATATTTTAATTGCCCTCAATCAAGTGGTTAGTTCAAGGGTAAGAAAATGGTGATCCATTTGTTCAGTTCTCTGAATCAAAATAAGTTTTCTGATTTTGAACTGGAAGAAATTCATGAAATGAACAGGGATTGTGTCTTGGCATCATTAGGGAATGTATTTGTACTGCTATTTTAATTACTGAAGATGTATAGCAGTACTTCAGTCCTAATGTACATGCTTCAATTTTGTCCACCATGGTTTGGGAATGATAAATGCAATCATTTTATGTAGAGACACATTGCTTCAATTGTTGACTGAATGAATGTCATCAAAGTTTAGATATTTGTCAGCATCAAAAAATACATTTCTGATTTTATTATGAGCCAAGCTAGTGCCAATAAATTTGCTCCTACCAACAGAAAGTCTATCTCAGGTTCTTCATTAGTTAGTTGGCTTCATATTCCATCATGTCCAATGGAAGAATAATGGTCTGTAACTCAGCATCTGCTTTTCTCTGTATGCTTTTTCACTGGTGTCATGTTGAGTCTTCAGTCAAGATGAATCCTCACCCATCATGGGAGTGTTTTAATTCAATGTTAATGAGAGCTGTGCTTTTTATGGGCTGGTGACTTTTTGCTTGTACAGAATACATTCTCAAGACATATGCATATGGTGATACATTATGTATGTTTATGCTTTGAAGGTGGAATTGCTTCTCCTGAGGTAAGACTCAGTTAAGTAGAGACCTTGAGTTCGGTACCGAGGTCTCCTGTCTCCGTTACGGAACGACCTCTTACGGCTGTAGAACAGACGTAACTTTCGTCGAGTCCTGGTGGTAGAAGAAGGCAGCGATAGCAATGACTCCACCAGCCACAGATTTGTTGCCATTGTGAGCAGGGGAGACATGCTGGTCTGCCTAGATGGCGCCAGGGAAGCTGGCCCCTGTGTTCATGACGCCATAAGTGATGCGGGTTTCCCGAGTGACGCTGCTGCTCTCTGTCGCAAGTTTGTCGCTGCCGATCCCGACAACCACGGCTTCTCGGCCTTTGCTCTGATCAAAAAGTAGATGACGCTCTCTCTTTGCTGGGTCTATAGGGTGATTCTCTCGCTGCAGATGTTATATCCCCAAGAATACTGAGCATTTTAAGATTCTTGCTAGTCATCTCCGTAACTTGAGTCTGGATTGCATTCAATACGTAATCTATTGGAATCTGCCATCCTTGGTTCTGTGATCTTCTATTTTTGGATTTTATTCTTTTTCAATGCGAAGGAACTAATTATAATGTTGATTTCTAATAATTGATATTACTAATGCAATAATGTTCATCTTTGATTTTCGTTGTTTCTGGTTATTGACGAGAAAGAAAAATTGAGAATTGTGTTGGATTTTAATAATTGGATCTAGTATCGCATCTTCAGTTAATTTCATTTGATTATTGTAATGTGTCCAATTTTCTTTGAATGCTGAAAAAAAAAAACTTCAAAATGCAACTCGAATGTTTTAAACACAGAAAATCGTACTGAAACTACCGATGCGAAAGAGTCGTCCTATGCCTTAGGGATAATTATCCGTTGTCGTAGAATGTAGCTATCCCTCGAATATTCAAGCTGCCGTTGAGGGGGAATAGTATTCGTCTCCCCTCAAGTATTAGAGCTTTTTTTATAGTTTCATTTTCCGTTTCCAACATCTTGTAATTATTCAAGTATTTTCGATAACTGGCAGTATTTATTTTTGCTTTGTTCCGGTGCTTGTATGTTCGAAATGTTTGATGTTTTAATTGACTGTTCACTGGGAAATATCTGCAATAAATTTCTCTTCCTTACATATTGCTTCGAATTATTTTACCCTGAATTGTTTTGAATTGAAATAATTACTAATAATTACTACATTGATCTATTGTCATTCAGGGTGTGACATCTACACATGAGATAAAACACACAAAATCAAATGAACCCGTGAAGTACAGATGTCACTCTAAAACGATACTCTTATACGAGTGACATCTATGTATGAAAGAAAAGACGCTTGTGTAAAACTTACTGTCAAGGATCTAGATGTCACTCAAGTAGAAGCAACGATTGAGAGTGACATCTATACTTTACGGGTTCATATGATTTTGTGTGTTTTTTTTATCTCATGAGTAGATGTCACTCCTTTCCTTCAATAATTATTGTATAAAATAATCATCTGTATAATTAGTATTGTCATACTTATCATGTATGTATCAGTGTCAGTGTTAAACATGTACGATTCGTAATAATTACCTTTTTCATTAAATGAACACTGATATTATATGCATCACACATTTATTTTCCTTCCCAAAATTCCACATTTCATATCAATCAATGGCATGTAACACCACAGCATCAAAAAAACTCTCGTTCATAAGCTCTGGCCTACATTTCACACACTCCAATCCTGTGAAACTGAGATCCACTTCAACACAAAAATCACATTGTACCTTCTAAAAAAAACTGGATCGTTACCAGAAAATGAAGAAAACCTTTAAATTCCCCGTTGTCAGGTAGAAGATTTTAAACCGATACACTCTAAGGAGGGTAAAGATACTATCTAACAGTCCAGAATATACTTCAGTAAATACATAAATTAGTATACTGTACAGTATACAGAAACTTTACAGCGGGGAAAAGAATATTCTTATATCAAGTAAATATATCTCGAGTGACTTTTGACATGAAAGGAAAATGAAAAGCCTAAACAGATAACACTTCAACAGTCAGCTTTAAGACATGATCACATTCAATGCCATAATGCATGCTCAAGAATATGAGGATAGCCTGATTTCCGCCGGAACATAGCTATTTATTTTAATTTCAACGTAAAACTCTTCTCCCATTCTCAAAAAATTCAGGGATTACTATTCTGAGCATTATTCTGCTCAATGAAATTACAGAATATTTATTTCCCATCAATCATGGCTGCAGAAAAAATGCAGAGTTGCTAATTTTCAAACAATTTTAGAGTGAACATCAAATTAGAAACCATTTTAAATAGTGAGTTCAGTAATCAGGAAAGAAAACTGGACAAGATCAGTTATTTTCCCGTCTCCTTAAATATGATTTCATGGCCATCACATGTATTATTCAATAATATTTCATATTTCCCATGTATACCAAGTCATAAAACATGAAACTTATTTGCGGGATACTCATTTATTACTGTATTTATTAACTGTTTTGCAGGTCTCTGTATATCTTCTTCTTTTCTCTCAAACTTGGGTTAGCAAAGATTAAAAAAAACATCAAGGGTTCAAAAATTCCTTTGTAAGAACCACTTACGAATTACGAAACATCTGCTTTAGTTCACGCGGAAACCAGACAACCCTTTCCCTATTTTTCCTCTCCTTCCAAAATACGAAGAAAAGAAGAAACCTGGAATGGCGGCCTTCTCTACACTTAATCATCTACTCATCTCCATCAGCATCATCATCATCCCGCATAACCTTCTCGCACTCATCCTGATGATGGGATCTACTCTTCGACATTGCAGTAGGGCTGGTGCCATAGTCCACTTCTTGCTCCTCTTCCTGCTCCTGCTCCTGCTCCTCCCTTGATGATGGACTCAAAACCAGGTGCTCCTGCTCCTGAGCATCGTCCTTCTCATCGTCGTCGTCGTCTTCTTCCACGACCAGGACTGTTGACGGAGCGTAGTCGGAGACTGCGGGTGCTGCGGATGCCCTGCGCAACAAGAGCTGCTGCTGCACTTGCGGCAAAGACTCCTCAATGTCCAGGGCCACGTTGTTGGCGGTGCTGTTGTTGCGGGTTCTCACCACCACGTGGACCCCGGTGCACGACGCAGAGGATCCTGGTCGACTGCTCAGGGATCTCGCCGGGGATCCCCCGCCACCCCCACAGCCCGATATTGAGATCCCGCACCTACTGTACAGAGACGGAAAAAACTATTAAAATGGGCAATTTTGTATACACACACACATCCACTCGTCTTAAGGCCTTTTTTATTGGACAAAATATACAGGAATTCGAAAATTTTCAATCCATCATCCCAAGGGGGACGAAAACATCAACAATAAAAAAGCTTTGCAACTACTCATTTTAAAAAGTTATTCAAATTCTTTTTGAAATTGATAAAAATCTCAAGATTCAAGTGATCATTCACATGTTGAGCTTTGAACTTTCTAAACTAAAAGTTAAAAATAGAACTTGAAAGTTGAGGCCTTTCAAGAAATGTAAAATGGATGATTAACCTAATTTTTTAAAATATGTTAAATTGACTAAGAATAATCCAAGGAGAATAATCAACTGTGTAACCTTAAATGGCAATGAGAGTACAGGTGGTAGCTTGAAATTTGGCCCTAAACCATTGCTGGGCTTGGATTGAATTGCAAGACACTTTGTAAAATTGAGAAATATCAGCACCAAAAATGCAAAAAGTGGCCAAAACAGGTCAAATGCCAGGGCAGAGGTCAAAATGCAAGTCAACCTCTGTGCAAATTCAACCATCAAATTGAGGGATGCTCAAATTGCAGAATGGTTGAATTGCTGGAGGTTGAATTGCAAGGTACCCACCAGTAATTCTCTTCAATAACAATTTTTTCTTACATTTAAATTTTTATAAGTCTGTTGTCCACCTGTACTCCAATGCTAATATGAAATTCAAATTTTTAATTGAGGGGAATGTTCTTCAAAACAATAAAATTCAAGAATTTTGAGCTCTAAACTTCAGAAAAAGTTAGGCTTATAGAATATACAGGAGGATAACTGAAAGGATCTTCAACTCAATTTTTAGAATATCTATTTGAAATTTTGATGGTCATTTTCAAAGTAGGAATCCCTGCACTTACAAGAAAAAATACAATTCAATTTCTTTTTAAAATAAATATTTTTTTCAAACCCAGTTCCCCATCAATGAATACCTGAAGATATGTCCAGACTGCACCCCATCAGTGCCCAGGTAATTGAAGCCTCTCAAACCCATTCCAGGTTCAGAAGGAGGTGTGCTAACAAGGTCATCAGTGTCTATCTGGATAATGCTCTCCTGAGACTCAGTCATCTGCAAAAATAGATAAAATATCCTCATACATCCCTTCAATAAAAACAATAACCCTTACCCCAGGAGCCAGTTTCTGCATGCATATAAGAAAAAATAGATCAAGCAGAAAAGAGAGCATGCAAGAGAGACAGAAACAGAGAAAAAAATGAGACACCATGCAAGACTTTCAATATTTTGACTCAGGAAAAAAAGGTCAAAAAGAGTAATGATGATAATGATGATGAGCTCACCAGGCCATAGAATTTGAGAATATCCATCTTGCACATAGGGCATGTCCTCTGATCTAGCAGCCACTGATCCACACATGTCTTATGGAACTCATGCCTGGCACAAAAAAAAAGATGGAGAACATATTCACACCAAGATCAACCCTTTCAAGAAAATTGCAGTGAGACTCAGATCTTATCTCCCCCCCTCTGGATGTAAAGAAATAATAAAAATTGCCACTTCTTTATACCTGCATGGTAAGACCCTGACTGCATCAGAGACCTTGAAGGATTCAATGCACACTGCACAACTCTCTCCTTCTCCTTGCACTTCCTGCAATTACATTTTCAAGGTCTTAATCACAGGAAACCCCCAAAATAAGATTTATAGTAGAAGAGACTTACTTTGTCTGCAGCTTTCAAATGCCTGATGGGAATGTTGGACAATGCTTTCTTGGCAGCACAACACAGCCTCTTCTGAAAAAAAGTCCACATCCTTGATGATCACATGTCACCAGTTCAATATAAACTTTGATTCATATAAGACAAGAAAAGCAATTCTCATACTATGAATTTTGAAAATTAATTCTTAAACAGGGCTCCATATCAACTCCAAAAACTTCAAAATGTAGTTTGCCCAGTGCTTCAGAGTTTACAACCTCATTTTAAACTGGAATGACAATCACTGTACACCTTTTCTTTTCAATTGAAAATGATGTGTAAAAATAAGATTCAACTGTCCTTGTTTCATAATGGAATAATAACCCAGGAAAGAATTGAATCAGAATCCTATCAGAGATTAATGAAATGTATCATAACAAGGATATTTTAACAGCATAGCATTGGCATCAGAGTATGTGATTCCAGAACATACAAAACATAATTCATTTTGTTTAATTTTTCAAAAATCCCATTCACTGCATGGTCTGCCTTTTTATAGGATACATTTACATGTTTTTCTTGACCTATATGGTATTGACTCAAATTTATTCAGTGTGTCAAACAGATATAAAATATATAGAAATTAAAATACTTTGACTGAAATTAATTGAGTGTAACAAAAAGATTTAACAGTGTGACCAAACATTTACAATTGAAAACTGTAAACACAAAATCATGAATGAAAAATACTCACAGCCAGTCTGTCCTTGGCATGGATGTACCTGAACCTCTGAATGTAGTAGAATATGAGCCAGGCCAGGCTAACAATCATGAGCACAATGAAGGACACACTGACAAATAAAATGGAGGTCCTGCAAGACAAAAAACAAATTCCAAGATAAAAGGATAATACTACAGTATACACACATAAAAAAAAAAACTTTCTCTCTACTGTACACTCACTTGTTGATGTGTTTGTAGTGAGGTGACATAAAGTTGCCTGGAATAATGTCTACCCAGATGGAAGTTCCATTCTCCAGCATTTCTCTCCATCTTTCACCATCAGCCTTGTTTACAAACACAGCTGGGATCCTGCTTCTCATTGACGTCACCAGGTCTGAAAAAAAAACAGGGGCAATAAGGAGATAAAATATATACATATAAGCACTCTTCTTTTGCGCAGTGGGGCCTGGGTTCTATAAAACAATCTTCAACTCACTGTATTTGACATTGCTGTACTTGAGATCTGCTGTCAATGGCTCATCATCAACTGTGTTGTAGATTACTACTGCACTTGCATTTGCCTTGTATGCTAGCTCCAATTTCTTCCTGCAAATGAAAAAAAGGACAAAAATTTAATATAAAAATATATCCTAATGATGAATATTCCTTTTAAAAAATTATTTCAGGTTCTTACTTCCAGCTTCTAAAATGTTGAAAAAAAATTTTCTATTTCTGTAAAGCCAATACAAAGTATATGAAAGAGGAATTTCATGAATTTCATCAGAACCCCATCATAATAAAATTATTTCAGCAAGCTTCTACATCAGAATCATTCAAACATACTGAGATATGAAAAAAACCATTCTTTTTATCACTGATCCTTTCCAACTGTAGCCATAATTTTTCAACTTTTTCCTCATCTGCCAAGACCTAAAAAAAAATGTCCTAGATAAGATTTTTAAACCAACAACTGGAATATTTCACAGTGTGGAGACAAGAAGACTGTTATAGAATTCAGTTTGAAGAAAATTGGCTTATTCAAATGAATATCTGAAATGTGTTCAGTCTTTATGGTGAACAAGGGAAACCTTTTCAAGACAAAAGCAATACATTATTTCAAACACTGAAATAGGCAAGTCATGTAATCTGGTTCAATCCAAAAAGTTGAAGCTTGTGAACAACAAAAAATCCAGAAGAGAAATATCATGATAGTACATTCCTTTCAACTGTGGGACACCCCAATAAATGTGAATTAAACTTGAATGTAGATTTCAGCATGATATACATTGTCAAAACTATTTGGAAAAAACCTTTTGAATTTAAATTGAATTTGTCACTGTAATTAAAAATGAAGGAATGCCAGGAGATCAAGTAGGTGTTAAAGCAGTGGAAACAACTGCATACAGTTAGTAATATTCCATGGGTACCCTTTTGAATGAAGAAAGTACTGAAATTGGAGGCAAAAAATGATGGATACACCAAAACTTTGCACTCAGTAAAAAAAACAAAATTAGCCTCTTGAAAAGAACATTGACTATACATTTGTACCTGTAATCACACTTGCTTCTCCTAACAAGGGCTATCCATGGCATGGCTTCCTCAGGATTTGAATCTCCATTTGCTGAAACAGCAGCAGCAGCAGCAGCAGCCATTTGCTTGGCAACATGTCTCCAGGCAGCTGGCTCACACCCATCCAATGTGGCAGGTCTCCTCAACACACCCCAAGCTGGTGCAATCACTGCATTCCCATACTTGGCATTCAATATCCTTGACACCTGGCTCACTCCAATGTTATTGTCTGTCACATTCACAAACATCCTGGCCTCTGTGTAGTCAGTGTACCTGAAAAAAACAAATAATGTATAGGTATACCAATCCCAAGGTTCAAAAAATAAAAAAAGCAGCTGAAAGGGTAGACTGAAGTTAATACAGTACATTATATGCATGTACAGTATTTAAATGTAAATATGAGAATGTAAACACATACTGTATTTGAGTATGTAAATACATACATGGGATTTAAATAAATATATTAGGATTTAAATACAGTACATATAGATGGATACTACATTAAGATAAAAATGTGCCTAGTTTTGGAAGTTGCTGTGCATCATGGTTGCTCCATTTCTTCTTCCTTGATTTTAGCAGAAATAATGATATTCCCATCTTCAACATTGTTGACAGTAACAATTCATTTGCTCAAATTAAAAAAAAAATTGATCAAGCAATGGCATATCCTTGAACCTATCATTGGTAATGTTTTAGTGTGTCCCAAAACAAATAAAGAATACCCAGCCAATGCTTTGTTTCAGTATGTCCCATGTATCTGAACTGTCTCATCACTGGTGTCTGATCACTGGTTGTTCCCCTCCTTTTTACAGATGCCCTGGTTTCATCTGACTATGGTATATCATCAGCCTCCTGCAAAAGGCTTCAAATCTATGAAGATGCCTGCACTGGCACTGTGGTAACTCATTGTTGATCTGGACTTTGCTGCATGCTCATTGAGGAATAAAGCATATTCTACTTGAGCATTTGAGAAGTTTTTGTTCACTTAGACCAGCAACCCTGGCCACAAAGGATCAAATCTTCTTGTATAACATCATTCTGAAAAAAAAAAATCTGCTGTGAAGTAAATTCACCAACACCAAAAAGACATCTGAGGTGGATAGATTTTATTTTGCATACAACCCAACATTAAACCTTTCTTAGCCTTCCAAAGTTGCTTATAAAATGAGTAAGGAAAAAGGTGATGCATAATTTACTATTTGAAGCATGATCTTCATGGATGCAACACAATCTGTTCATCCAAATCCCCCCCCTTTTTTTTTAAAATAAGCTCACCTATCTGAAAAGGCACTGGTGAACTCAGAAGCACCCAGGGCCAGTGAGGCAGTGGAAGCAGTCAAAGACAAAGCAGTCCAGTAGAGTGCCACCAGGGCTAACCACCTCTCCCAAAGCTTCCAAGAAGCCATCACCACACTGATCATCAGTATTAGGGGAGCACAGACACAGACACTAAGACAACAGTTGTAAGTCCTTCACTGTCAGCAACACAGGCTGGCTCACCAAAAGGGAGATACCTGTGCTTACTTCACAAAAAAGAAAACACACATAATGAGGTTCCCTTCATTAAAAAAATAATGTAAATACTGTAATTTTGTAAAAAAAAAAATGTTGTTCAACAAATTTGTGCACTGAAATGAGTGAAATTTTTTGTAGAAAAAAATGCATGAATGTTAGACTTCTTTTTAAAGGTATGCTAAATTTTCAATTAAAAATCCTTTATCCTTTCTGACCCACCACAAATTATAAGTTTTTGCTGATAACATTAAAGTCAGGTTTACTTCAAAATCCCAAAAATTTGCTGAAAGACCCAGAATTCAGTACAATATATGATATGCTTACAATATTATACATCATTGCATTAAAATATTTCTGCATCATAATTCAGGGGAAATCAAGAAACAAAACCTCCCTGGTCAAAAACCTGCCTAGAAAACACAAGCTTCAAATCTGTTTGAAGCTTATTCCTCAAAATATTCAAAATAAATATAATCCAATATATATATTCAATAATTCAAAATATTATTCCTCAAATATGTCTAAACACATACCACACACAGACACTAAATGTCTGAATCAGTTCATTCTATTAAATATCAGGTGCACATTTACCCCCCAAAATTTGACAAGATAAGATAAATAAAATGCACATTAAACTCCATAAATAACGAGCCTTGACTTTGATTTTCTAAAAAAAATTCTAAGCAGAAGAAAAATGTATGCATGTGTGGTGTGTCACAAAAATGAACACTTGAAAATGTTGTCTTTGAAACACACCATTACATAACATTAAAATTCTGCACTAAGTTAGCATAAGCCAAAAAAAAACTCAACAAGATTATCTATAAACTAAATAAAAACCTACACAAAATAAACACATGAAATGAAATACAAACACACAGAATCACTGAGTAAGACAGAGAAACGCAAAGAGGGTTCCAGGATAAACATGGTCTTATTGGAATTGATCTGGAAGCAGTTCCACCATCACCAGATAGACCAAACAACAACAAAAAAACCTACATACACACAAATACATGGAAATATAGAGATTCAATAGCATTCAACAGACTGCACATGGCGAGAAACAGTTTCTATATAAACCCCCTCCACATCCAATATATATATATATATATATAGCTGTGATGGGGGGTATAAAGAGGAAAAAGAGGGGTTGCAAGGACAGAAGAAGAAGGTGGTGGTGGTGGTGTTCCTGCAACTGACATACACACACTCTCTCCCTCCCTCCCTCTCTCTCTCTCTCTCTCCATCTGCATTACATGCATCAGAAAGCAGCTCTGCCGCCTTCACACCCTCCCCTAACCCTGCTTTTTGTCTTCTATTCCACCACCTCCTCCTCCTCCCTTCTGGATAACCTTCCCAGTCAGTATTCCAGCTTGCCAGTCTGCCAACACTCAGGCTGCCCGCTCAGTTTCACACATTATGTGAGAAAAATATAATAATGCTGTTTATCTTTCCTCTGTCACAACTTAGTGGTTGTCAATGTGGTCACAACAACACAAACCAGGCCTAAAGAGCAAACTTTTTCCAGCAGAAGAGGACAAGTGACAAATTCCCAGTGACAAAAGGAAAAAAAAGACAGAAAAATTATATGAGAGCTGGCATGGCTGCCTTCTGGTGACCTGACACAGCAGCAGCAGCAGCCTTGAAACCCTGTCTGGACTCTGGAGCCAAATGGTGGGGTCCCTGAAGGGCTATCAAAAAAGTTTTCACCAATGTTCAAGACTTGGTAAAAGAAACAAATTCAAACACAAACCCAGAGATTTCAGAAAATTTCAAGAACCACTTGGAGATTCCAGGAAATCTCCAGGACTTGAGAGTGTTTGGAATATAAAAAGATCCCCAGAAGAAGAGCTTTGAAAAGTACTGTGCAAGATTATGGATTCAAAGAAAAGCACTTCCCCATGAATAAGAAGTAAGTCTTCCAAGAAAAGAGACTCAATTATAAATTGAGATTCAATTATAATTAACAGGTCAGAAACAGGAGTTCAGAGAAAAATAGCTCTCTAAAAAAAAGGAATTTTGAGTAAAAGGACTGAAGCAAGAGGATCCTACAAAAACTTACAGAAAAATTGATGAATTATTTATGATACATAAAAATTATGCTCAAAAGAGAAAAAAATAAACCTTAATACTGCAAGTTCAGAAACAAAAATTCAAAATTTTCAAAAAATGCCCACAAACTTTGAATATCAATTTCAGATTCCCTCCAACACTACCGCAACCAATTCCCTGCACACATTATACTCCTGAAAACAAATGAAATTTCAAACATTTCGTATAAAATATACAGTACTCCAATATAAAATGAAACAGAGGAGAGGATAAATAAAATTAGTCCAATATGTTCACTGAAAAAACTAAATGTTGTGCTCTGTTCCCATACAGTTAAAGATTTTCATTCAAAGCCATTAATCTAGAGGAATAAAAAAAACAAAATCAAAGATTATCATACAAACATGTACTGAAACTTTACACAGACTATGGTTCAACAAACTGAAGCTCCAGACATAAATCACATGCCAGAGTCTATTATCTCACTCAGATAAGATAACAAAAGACACTTCATTTTATTTTTTTTCTCTCTAACTTCTTCCTGAAAAGTCCTGCAAAGTTATCACTCAAGGTCACAAGTGAGACACACAAAAGGACTCAGATAAAAACCATATTGAATTTTTAACAGCACACACACACACACAAAAAGATGTATACTTTTTAGCACAGGAACTTTGCAGCTGAGGGGTTTGGCTCAGTGCCCTGATCTCATCCCAGCAACCTTTTCAGTGCTTTCAGGAACTGGGAAAGTACTGCCTGGAAAGGAGTCCTACTCTCATTAATCCTCTCTCTATCTCTCTCTATATATATATATATTATCTCTAGTACTGGCCCTACTTTATTCCTCTTTCCTTCTGCTTTCACATCTAATGACCCATTGACTGATGAATTTCCTCCCAGCCTCCCATTCCATCACATTCTTTTCTGCAACACTGCACATCCCTAGCTGTAAAAAAAAAGTATCAAAGCACACATGGAAAGGCAATGAGCTTCATATAAAGAGCAGCACTGGAGGGGGGGGGGGCGAGTGAGGAAAAATAGAGGGCACTGCTGTGTGTCTGGAAAAGTGTTTCCAGGTCGCCACCTGCACCCGGACTGCAGCTGGAGAGCCCTAACCACCCTGGCCTTTAAGCCCTTTCCCACTCCCAAGAAGCACTGCGCAAGGGAACTTTGCCTTCCACTCTCTGGTCCTTTTCCAACCCTACAACCCCACCATACCCCCCAGCACTGGAACTGGGGGAAAGGAGGAAGGGGGGGGGGGGGAAAGCCCTTGCCCTCCTGTCTCTGGAAAGTCCATGGGCAGGTGGCACACACTCTGGTAGTCCATTGCATCATATTAGCAATGCAGCCCTTGGTGTTTTTTTTTTTTTAGCAGAAAACATATTTGTACAATGGGATCTTGGCTAAGAAACACAATCTCTTTAAGGGAAATATTTGGAAGTTTTTAAGCAGAAATTGTTTTGTTAATTGTCTGTACTAACTAAATTAAAATACACTTAGATAAAATTATATGCCAAAAATAAATGCAGTCAAAAGTTAGTCAAACAAAAGTAATAAGATAGACCAATTTAGGGAAGTCTTGCTGAATGATCATAAGTATTTCTGAGAAATAACCACCATCAACACAGAATTAATTCTGATGAATATACAAATCCTCAGGTAATATACATACTTTTGCACAAATCTAGGACACACAAGGTTCCTTTCATGTATTCATGAATATCTGGGTGTTGTAAAGAGATTTATGGAATATTGTAATATATGCCATGTCCCTACAATATACACAATTATTACACACACAATATATATACAATATATACCTCAGTATATTTCCCTTGAGATCTGTATTTCAGAGGTGTGGCAGCACAAACAACATCCATCACTGTTGGCAGGGAAAGAAAGAAAGTATATGTATTTAAAAAAGAAGGAACACATCATGAATCTAAAATGGGGTTAAGTGAGAAGATGAAATGCAAAACAAGGAAACAGCTGCAGCAGAAAACCTTGTAGGCCTCCTTTGAAAAAAAATTTGGAAAAGAGAAGTTTCTGAAGCAAACATAAATTTTTCCTGGATAACAGTTTTTCCCCTTTACAATTTTTTTCATATGTTATAATTTGTTGTCTCAATTTTTAACAATACAGCATTACAAAAGAAACCTTTCTTTCTATGAAAACCAGAATTTAAACCCAAAAGAAACCTCTGAAGTACTGCTGAACATAAAAAAATACTATCCCACATAAAAAGGCACCAGGTTGGAGGACCTTCACATCCAGGAGTCCCAGAAATAATCCTGGCTCTGACTCTGTCTCTCTCTCTTTCTCTCTGACAAGCCTGCAATGCGTCTTGCACAGGGGCCATGGCCTCACATGGCCACGTCAGCCCCAGCACAGCAGCCCAAACCAACAGCTGGAACATACCCCCACCAGCACCACTTCTTCCTCCTCCTCCTCCTCCTTCCATACTCTGTTTTTAACTTTTCTTACTGCCTCACATGCTGAATAAGAGTCTATAAAAGACAGCCATAATTCAATATAAAATTGTTTTCATAGCCAATATTGCTTTTGCATGATAAAGTGCCAACATGAGACAAATGTGATTAACCCCATAAAAAGGGAAAATAATTCCTTGACCCATTTTTGCATGAAAGGAATTTATAAGAATTGGCAAAAAACCTCATCTTGAGAACTAATTTTTTCAAATGAAGAAATCTGAAAAATTTAGACATGCATGAAAGCCAATCATTGTTTGCACAAGAAAATAAATGCAAAAATGAGATTCAACTTGATTTCAATAAGACATTGCTCATTCAAATGAGGTTCATATACTTGAAGGTACAACCTGATTTCTTGGCAAGCATTTTTTGCAATAATTGAGGTTCAAATATGAGACACCACCTGCTTTTGAAAGCCATTAAAACAATGAAAATACAGTGAAACTCCCAAATGCAGACAATTTGACATATAGGGACACTTATTTTCCAATAAAAAATGCATAAGGAAGGCCCAACATGTGGACACTGACATTCTGGGCTAAAATTGCAAACAAAGTTCACACCAATTTACAAGAAAAAGAAGTTTCCAACCCTAAGATCTCTGTAAGAAAAGTTCTTTGACATTTCTCTCATCAATTTACCATCCATTCAGCTAATAATAAAAAAAAAACTTCCAGCATAGAGGGACTTCCTTCTCTCCTTTTGACTTGAACATATTTGTTTACATAGAATGCAAACATTTCAAGGTACTATATCCAGAGGTATCAGTAATCAAAGCTTCAAATGTCCATATTGTGTTGAAAGATTGATTGAATTAGTTTAAATTGGGAGACAATTTTTTCCTACTCATTATGGAAGTCTGCAGAATATTAGTCCATAAAACACCAATTAAAAATTATATAATATAAGTCCAAGGGAAAAAGCGAATCAAAGCAGGGACATTTTGACTTTGGGACAATCTTGATGCATGAATTATGTCTGCATTTTGGGGTTTCACTGTATAACAAACCAGATTTCAACAAAATGACATTTAGTGCATGAAAATATGAGTTCTGAATTGCATCAAGTATCATTTTCACAGCTAATTATTGCTTTAAACAAAGGGCAAAATAAATATAAAAAAACACCTTGATATTTTTCCAGCTGATTCTTTCCGCAAGCAAACAAAAATGCGCATTAAATTCAACATAAATACTATATACTGTACTGTACATATAAAATAGTCGCCAAAATACGGTATATTGCTGCTCAAGAGAGAAAGAGCTCATTTGTTCGGGTCAATGGCGACAGGTAAGGACGGGGATTTTGCCATGGGCCATCAGACCAGGAAATGGTCACGTTCCAGGTTCCCCCACGTGAGACACAGGCTTAAATACAGTACAGTACAGTACAGTATATACGTTACTGTATACTGTATATACTGTATACAGACAGAATACAACACACCATCGCCAAAGTCGCACTTTGGAAGAAGCCACACTCATTCATCCCCCCACCTCTTGGAAACGCGTCACTGAATCAGGAGCTTTTACCATTCTCCTTTTGTGTGTGTGTGTGTGTGTGTGTGTCCAGACAGATTTTAATTTTTTTCACAGTCCTTTTGGTCACATGCAATTGGAAGAGGATACTGTATCTGGTATTCTTGATTACATGAACACTTTTAAAATTTTATAAAACAAAATTCATTGGGAGCCAAGAAAAAAAAATTCTCTACAGTATTTGAATTGGATACTTGCTGGATTGAGACTGGAGTGACACTCTTGTTATTAAATACTTTGTCATTTGTTTTTGCTATCAGACAAGGCATGTAGCAGTTGTGTGTTTCCCTACTTTCATGTTCCCAATGATGGGCTGTGCCAAGTCACTTGCCAGTTGCCACTGAGTTACATAATACAATCCTATACCAAAAAAAAAAGGTCAGATCCAGGTCTGACCAGTCTTGGACCTCCAAGTCTATAATGCCAAATGCTTTTCCATGTACAAATGTTCATTTCTGTCTGTTTGCTGCAGTTGGAACTTGCATTGCCACATTGTTGTTCCATTTTGTTGAACGCAAGAATTAACACTTACATTCTTTAGTAAAAACTTGAGGGGTCTTCACTCTACAAAATTGGCAATAAGGATAAGAAATCTCCTCATCAAAATGAAGTTTTCAGAATTACAATTAGCAAATACGTTACAACAGTAAAGTATTAAATATAAGGACTCAGAAGGCATCTTTATATATTTGTATTTGTTGAACATCAATTGAAAGTCTGTTAGCATCATCAATAATGTGACAATTTTATTTTATTTTTACTAAAGTATTTTCAAAGATTTTGCAAATAATTTTATAAACAAACATTTATGTCAGCAAGAATTCCTTTTGAATGAGAATTTTTAATTAACAAGCCTTTGTCATAAAAACATGTCATACAAAAAATAATGCAGAAGTTGAACAACAATCTGTTACTCCAACAAAATTGCATAATTTAAACAAGAATATTTCATATAAACAAAAATGTGTTACACAAGAAAATGTATTATACAGTACAGTACTGTAATTCATAAAGAAGGATGTGATGCATAAAATGTTTTATTCAAACAATAATATGTTAAATACATGAGAATAAACCAAATAAATGAGAATAAGCTCAATGGAAAATGAAATGCCTCCAAGAATGATTGCCAAATATAATTTTCTGAATGAACAAGGATATATGATGGATTGACAACTTTTGTACATGCAAAAATAATGTAACAGGCAAATTTTTAAACCAGAACCAATTTCACTTACATACAGTATTTTTACTTGAAAAATAATGAAAAATGTATAAAATGTTTTTTGGGGGAAAAATCAGAGTATTGAAGAAAACGAAAATACAATGTTATATAAGAGAACTTCTTGAAACAAGCTTTTTTACTTTATTTCCCCCCTTACTTTACATACGTAATAAAAATCATCCCCAATCAAAAGTACTCAAGGTCCAAAAGAAAACTTGCTTTGGGCTTGGTTGAGCACATACATATTTTTTATTTCTTTATTTCGTTACCAGTCCGCTGTAGATGTGCTACTGATTTTTTTTATTATTAGGATGCCATGAGGACCCCAATGGACAATGAAGTTCAGTAAAAATTAATACTGCAGATAAAAACATTAGCGGATACTTCTTGATGGTACTACTGCTGGACAAAAACGTACCTTTTCTTAAAGACCCTTTTTCCAGCCCATTGACTAATCGTTTCATTCGGACGGTTTCTACTTGAAAAAATAAAAAATAAATCAATTAAACCCCAAGATGAAAAAAGAGGAATAAAACCCTGTTCATCGATGCAGAAAGTCAAACACGTACCTCTTCTTCTTCTTCTTATCCCGTATTTTTTTTATTTTCCTAGAAAAGTAACCCCGTTACACAAACTTCAGGGATAACCGGAAACATGAAGAGTATTAATTTATCAAGCCTGAGTGAATCCGAAAAAGAAAAGAAGGGGGGGGGGAGACAGACAATGAAAAATGGCCACACGAAAATATATTTTTTTCTTCTTTCTTTGTAATTTAAAACATTATCGCCTGAGTGACGTAGAAAGTGGCAACTATTTTTTTGGGGGGGTTTTCAGAAGAAACTTATAATTTCTTCCTTTCAAAAGAGAGCAAGCACTGGAACCAATACTTGGCTTTCATAAAAAAAAAGACATATTTTTCTTTAGTTTTAACAAAACTTTTCGTGTTAAAAGAAAACAAGCGCCTTTAACTTTTAGACCTTTATTTAATGACCCACAACAAGCTGATATGACATGGTATAAAAGTTTTCCGCCTCGAAAAAAAATGATGGATTGAATTTTAAAACTTTGTGTTATTTTTGTTTCTTTGGTACGTCCATCAGCACATTTAATTTTTGACAAAAGCGGGAAAATCAGAATTATGAATAGAATAGAAGAGTATAATAATTATTATATATAATATGGAATTACAGTAATTGAATAATAAAATAGTACTGTAGTAATAATAGTAATGGTACATATTATATAATTATAGTATAATAATTTACAGTACATCCCATAGAAGTTAGAAACAGCTTTTTTACTTTTCTTCAAAAAGTAGGAAAACCCAATTTTTCCTTCACATGGGATTACAAATTTTAAAAATCCTTGATTTGAATTTGATTTTCTTCCCATGTGAAAGAATATACATATAAAGTCAACCCTCAAATTATTGCCACCCTTGCATAGTTCCACAAATTTCCCTGGTACTACAGATATCCATTCTTATATTCTCAAGGAGGAACCAAATTTAGAACCAGCTCAATGCCACAAAAAAATCTCTGTCCTGTTCAAAAAATTTGGTAGAAATTGAAATGATCTAGGCATTATTTCAAGGATATAATTGGATTAATTGAAGGAGAATCAAATCTGCATGCTGACATAAAACTCAGATGAAAAATCTATTTTTGAATTTAAATTATTGAAAAATAGTTCTTGTTCCCTGTTATACTTGTTACAGTAATTTAAAATTTAAATTAATTTAATTTAATTTAATTTAGTGGAAGCTTTTGCAGAAAAATAGGCAATTGACACTTTATGTAGAACTAACCCAAATGCACACTAAATCTTGAGAAACAGCTGTGATCTTTCACCAGGTTGAATATCACACGTTTTAATATCTAATACATTCTGTGGTGATACATATTATTCTGAAATAAAATACAATAAGAGTACCTTTGAGATTCAAAAATTCTTCATTTGGGCTGTTGATCTGATAAAACACGATCTGGCCAAAAAATCAGTTACCAAGCTTATTTTTCCTATGATGGAAACCCTGAGCCTCTCTCTCATACAATACTTAGTGATTATTAATGCCACCCTTGCTCAGGGCCAGAAAATGTATTAGGACAAATGTTGGCACTAAATTGAGGTTTGACTGTCAGAAGACACACATTTGGATTAACTGAAGCATTAATTCACTGGGTTTTCACATTATTTTGTCTCAATG